CTGGATGCAGTTAGACGATGAGTTACGGCTTGACAGATGCCGCGAAAGACTTGACCATGCAATATCAGCACCTTTCACTGTCGTGGACGGCGTCGCACAGGGCAAGAAGGCTTCTGTCCATAAGTTTAACACTGCCGCTACGTTCATCAAGGACTGCATCTCCCAACACATCCTGGGCGCTGCAATTCCCACACGGATGTGGCAACATCGTGTACTGCAGCACGCAGAGTACATCAAGCCCGCTTTGCACGGTCATCATGACGTCGCCCTCCTCGCCTAGCCCAAGACGCAACTGTAGCAAGGACCTCTGTGCATCGCTTCGCAGGTGAGGTTGCGAGTTTAGTTTTTTATGCCGATAGAGTTGCTTGTGTTGATTCCTGTTGACACAGTCGGTTAGTTTGTTTACAAAGTGTTGACGACACACTGGCCCCGACCACTTCAGCGCAGCAGTCCCAGTTATTCTGGCAAGCTTGCGAAAGATACACGGTGGAGCATGGACCGAAGTTCAATTTGGGCAGAACGAAATCAGCCATTCTCGCGATCGACATCCCTGCAGAGGAGGAGCTTGATTTGGCTAGCTGCCGCTACATGCAGTTGCAAGTACCAGTCGTCCAGCACTACACTTACATGGGCATCACCTTCGACGCCACGCTGTCCATGGACTCACACCTTGCAAGCACTCTGGCGCGAATGAACTCCCGCTTTGAGGAACACATGGCCTGCGGCGTCGACGCAGACAAACTGGTGTCGTGAAGTTTTAGGTTGCCAGGGTCTCCCACAAGGGCCGCATTTTCCCATGCTCGCCGAGTGTGGGGCTTTGCGCTGTATCGGTACAAGAATGCTTAGTGCAGCGCTCATGCTAGAAGCGCGTATTTGGTCTTCTGATGACGGCAGCCCATCTCGCATCATTTTATCTGCCGCCCGAGACATCACCGGCGAGTTCAACAGTGTCTGTCAAGTTCGCCGTCGTTTGGGTGGTATTCCTTCTTTTTCTGACTGGTTGGAAACCTCTGGCTTTGACCTCGTTCCGTCTGATCTAGTGCTCGCAAACATTTACTCAGCAGATACAAAGTGCACATCGTCGAGCCGCCGAGCCTGCCTTGTCTGAGTATGACCACACCGCAGTCTTGGAGCGTGCAGCAAATTCCGACTGACCTTACTATCAATTTCAGCCACGCCTTGAACCACTGCCCAGGCATTTACTGCTTGCTCAATGGCCGCTGGGTACATGGCAAGACTAGAGCTTGGCTCGCACCACCGGCCGCTTTGCTTGGGCACCCCTTGGTATCCACTCCCCAGGGTACTCCCGCACTGTCCTTTGTGCCATTGTCGCGATGTGACGCTGTTACATCTGCCAAACATTGTATCCAAACACGATCGCTCAGGCGATCTTTCAGGATTGAGACTGTCGTCACTGACAGCATTTTTTGCACACTATTTTCGCCACGAGACCTTCCAGCGACAGTCGCCAACTGGATGGACCAATCAAATTTACAGCGGAGTGTATTCGTCTGGCGGTTGCAAGGCTAGATGCACATGCTTTTCCTTAGCCGCCTTCTGAAAGATGCTGCGCGGTTCAGGTTCAGCTTGGAGCCGTGCGCATCTCTGCCTTGTCTGTGTTGGAACCCTTCGCCAGTGATGGCGTAGCTTCCTGTGCAGCCTGCCCTCGCTTAAGCAGCCTAGCTCCCCAGGCCCTCTCCGTCGTCTTGCTTCTAGATGTTTAGGCTCGCGCGGAGTTCGCTAGCAATGTTCTAGCTCCGCTTGACCGAGTCCCACAAAGTCACAAAGTCAATGATGGATTTTTGGACTTCCATGAGAATCCAAAAATCCATAAATCCAAAATTTCAATAATCCGAAACTGGTTATGGCATCTCCGGTGCGAACGGACTGCGATGCCTTGTCAAGTTCTAAGGTGTCACTATAAGAGCTGTGAGCAGGACCGTGTAAAGTGCAAGAGAAGGGGGCACGCTACGCGTCCCTCGACTCTAAGGGGGCACGCTACGCGTCCCTCAACTTTACCTTTCTATGTGACCGCCAACGCAACGTTTGGCTCAAGTCAATGCCCATAGCTGAGTGCTATATGTGTCTTCTATCCTGAGCAATCAGAGCTATCCCGTTGCACAGACGAACCGCCGCCGGCAGTGAGTGCAAAAGGATCGGCCGCCGGTTCTGCCTGCATAGGATCGCACGTGTGGAAGTGTAAGAGAGAGACAGGGTCCAGTCTGTGGAGAGTGCAAGCCAGCCACGCCTACATTCATTACAGCTCTGGTGGGGAGAGCAGCAACATAATCGAGATCAAATCCCCACGCAGGTTATCAGCCGTACGCGGCTCTGCCTTTCTACAGCAACGACTACTTGATCTACTACGACCACAATGAACTCGGGATCAAGCCAAGATACGACAATGACTTTCGGTGCCGATGTGGCAGCGCCAGCCGTTGGTGAGTCAACAGCTGATGACACAGTGGTGCAATCCGTTGATAGCTCCACGGAAGATGACAAAGGTCAGTCTTCTGCGCTTGCCATTGCAAAGGCAGTTCCCAAGGTGAAAGCAAAGAGTCTACCAAGAGCATCTACGCCTTCGCGTCCGACATCCACAGGTTCGAGGACGGGCAAGGCTCCCGAACGACGAGCCGAAGCGTCTGGTTTTCAGGCACCTCGGACTACGTCCAGGGCCAAGGACAAAGGAGTGAAGACCTTGGAAAAGAAGTCGAGACCATCATCTTCGAGAAGCTCTTCAGCACGATCAAGGACTTCGGCTACTCGTGGGCGTGACAAGTCCATGACTTGGAATCGGATGGTTACCAATCAACCACGCGATGCTGACGATCTGGATATGACTCTGGACACTATTCCTGCACGTGGTGATGCGTCATCGGTGACCACGCCAGCCATAGCCGATGGTCCGAATGCCTATCAGGAACTGACGATTTCGCAACAGCTCGAAGCATCGAACCTTGCGCAGCAGATGTACTATCGCAGTCAGATGCAAGAGTACGAAGGAGTTGTCCAGACCCTGATGGATAAGATCAAGGAGATGCAACAAGAAGATGAAGGATCTGGGATTCGCATCGAAGAATTGGAACGACAACGTGACCATGCATGCTTAGCCATGAGGCACATCAACAATGTCAATCAGGAGATGAAGCGAGACTATGAAGCAGCTTTGTTTCGCATGGATGAACAGAACTCTGCTCAACAACGTCAAGCACACGCCGTTGCCGAGGAGTTGGCTCAGCAGCTACATGTGTTTCGCACGGAAGCAGCCACTAACTTTGTGCAGTTGGAGGCAAGAGCGCAAGGCGATGGTGAGCTTATGGCACGTGAGTATGAGCGTCTGACTCATGAACTTCATGAACATGCCAGAGAGAACTTGTTCCTCCGTTCGAACACAGCAAGTTCGGAACAAGCCTTACAAGCAATGCAGGAACGATTCCACTTGGTCAAGAATCAGGAGTTGCGGGCTGTGAACGAGATCCAAGGGCTAGCTGGAAGCAGCGCAGCCATTGATCAAGAACGACTCCGGCTTCGCGAACGTCTTGGTGAAGAGGAAGAGTACCGCAAAATGGCTGTGAGGAGGATGCAAGATGCGGAGGACCGACTTCATCTGAATGAAGATCATGCAAGGCGCTCATTGCCTACCTTGCACGACGAGCTGAGTGAACTCAGGAAAACACTCAAAGCACAAGAAGATCTTCAAGCGAGGACACGCAGCGAATTGGAGGCAGCGCGGAACTCCAACTATGGCGGAGTGACACGGCCTTCGAGCATGCCCATGTCTTCGAGGACTACTGAGTCTGGCTGGGAGCACGTAGGAAAGGAAGTAGTGCCTGCATTTTCCGTAGGAGGTGAGGTACGATCCCCTTGAAATACGGTCCCCAAGTCAAGTTAGTCCAGTCGCCAAAGAGAAGTTCGCATTCTCGGAATCGGACAAGGACAAGAACCTTGTGATGGATGGAATTCCATTTACCGGTGGAAACTTCTTCACTGGCCGCAATTCAACGCCAATCGTGGCGGATGCAATGCCCGAGCACTACGTGCCAGGTATTAGCAGCCCAGCACTTGCGCGTTCCACGCCTAGTGCAGCCACTCTGTTTGGCATACCAAGCGGATCTCATGGGAAAAGTGATGCGGCAGCCGTGCGTGATCGACAGCTACGCGAACTCTTGGAGGATCGCGGGATGCTGGGATCGAAGTCCACAGCATCTGCCAGCTCCTCAAGACCTGTTGGTATCGACGGCATTATCGCATCTACGAAGGGCAACGACCTCATTGGTCCCCCTGTCGCCTATGACGATTCTATCCATGAGGCAAGGGGGCGTCAGATCGAGAAAGAGGTCGCGGAACGGTATGAAGAGAAGATTGCCGATCTGCGAAGCGAAGTACTCAAGGCCCAGAAAGCCGAACAACGTCTCAGAGCTGATCGTGATGAGTGGAGATTATTCGCTGAAACGATTCAAGAAGACAATGGAGACGATGACGGTGACGAAGCTGGCGACGAGAACGAAGAGGGAGAGCATGATGAAGGAACCGGCACGGGGTATGACCCTCCAGATCCGCCTGATGATGACGATGATGATAAGAAGAGAAGCGGAGGAGGCAAACCTGAATCGGATCCTGGTTCGCATGCGCGTGATCCTGATGGAGACGCGGATCCTGAAGTCACAGAGGTGAGAATTTCCAGGAGGGAAGCCGACAAAGTGACCGTTCCTCCATGGCCTACTCTCACTCACCTCAACAATTGGCGATCCGTATGCACGGCCAATGTTTTAGGGGCATCAGCCGACCCAAATCATGAGGACTGGATGTTATGGCTGGCACCAGCGTTCAACCCATTCCCTGATATCGAAGCACTGAACGATTCAGGACACAAGAAGTTCAAGAGCGTAGACGTCAAATTGGGGATCGCCATGGTCGCAATGCTACGCGCTGGTGGTGACAAATCTGCTGATCTGTACATGGAGGTGAACCGGAAGGCCAACGATTACATCAGCAGGCCCGAAGGGAAGATCATCAAAGGACGACAAATCATTGCGATGATGTATGAAAGTTTTCGAACGCACGATCGTCTCGACATGATCATCACTCTCGAGTATCTGGTGAAGCTCCAGTACCAAGGCGACAACAAACTTCATACGTTCAAGCAGACGTGGTTGGAAGTTCTGGGACGGATGAGGCCAGAAGACATACCATCCAAAACAGCTCTCCGTGATTGCTTGTACAGCAAGATCAAGGACTCGCCCGCAATGAAGATGGAGTTGGGCATGCACTACGAACACTTGCCCTACAATCATGAAGACCGATCGTACGACAATCTGATGAAGATCATCGACCGCACCATCATGCGGAGACGAGAACAATCAAATCTCACTCAGACCCAAATTGGCTTGCGCCAGATGCTTGAAGGCAAGGATTTGCTCGCTGCACCGGCCAAGGTACCTGAGAAACCAACGCCTAACGCAGCTCCGTCCGCAAAGGTCAAGGCTTCGCCGACCAAGCCGGATAAAGCAACACCTGTACTACCTCAAAGCAAAGCGAAGAGTCATGCGAAGACCAAGCCAAAGCCCAAGAAGAAGACGAGGAGTGAGTCAGCGGACAACAGAGGTGACAAGAGCAAGAAGCAAATCCGCTGCAAGTTCCATTTCACAGATGCAGGGTGTCGAAATGGTGACAAGTGCCCATTCAGTCACTCGAAGAAGACTCCAGAGCGACCCTTTACGCCGAGGACGAGAACTCCAAGTCCATCTGGAGGA